CTTACTCACTGCCTTCTCGTGGCGAAGGTGTTTAACACTAAAGTGAGAGGACGAAAAGCCGACATCCGAGTTGGTGTCCTGGGCACATTAGACGTTTGACCCCGTTCAATGGGTGTATGATCCGATGAACTGGACACCGGCTCCCAATCGATTGCGGTTTTCACACACCACCCCGCTACCTTGCGGGTCAAGCTTTGGATAGCCGTAGGCTCCGGTTGTGAATTCCTCAAGAAAATTTGCCTACATTGACCTAACCAACTTGGCAGTATTCAACTCACATGCAAATCATGGAACGTTTTTCTTTCTATAAAGAATATTGTACCATGATTTGTTTGGTACACAGTCGGGCTTCAGACGTATGTGAAATATATATACGAAGGCTTTTATTCAGTTATATGCAAAATACGGGTCAAGAACGTTTTATCAGTTGCCAATTGCTTACTTGAGACGTACTCAGATACATCAATGACATGAGTACGTATCTATCTTTGTCCAGAGGGAACCAATGTAGATAACACAAATGAGCTGACTGATTTAAATAGCTGACGATCTCAAACCAGATCACAAACGGGTCTATAGACCTGCAAACTGTATGACGAGATCAATATCCTAACGAACGAAACTGAACACCTCACTGTGGTATTATGAGTGACGCCACTTGTCTGATGTATCTATTCGTAGAAAAACAAATAGTTTACACTCCGGTGTTGAATCTCACTTGGCTTACAAACGATCTATTTCGGGAATTATGTGCAACGCGGGTGCATGAGATCTGAATCGAATACGACGCGTGTTTTGCGTCCAATAAAAACAAACGCACAGGTTTGATGGATTATCCTGTGGAAAAATAAGATTTCATGTTTAATTTATTGGGCAGGGAGGTGGTTGCTTTTAAGTGAAATCTTTGTACTCCTTTTTGGCCTCTGATTACGTCATACCGGGTTTCAATCCTTGCATTCCCAACGACACAATGTGAAATGAGACATGTGATAGGTCCTCAAAACCGGGGCTATTGTAACTAACTGGGAGTTAAGAGCGCCGTCTCACAGCGAAGGGAATGTGCGTACCGCAGTTTGAACAACCCATGAATCGGAAGCCATCAAGATGTGACTATGCAAC